GATTTTACCTAAAACATTTATCATATAAATATGCATTGTTAAAGATTAAACCAGCTTTTTTGGCTTGTGTACCCCAACAAAAAATGTCTGATATCTATAAACAAATATTTACATTTGTATGCAGAGTCTGTAGGCAATGAGACAAGGTTCCAGTCACTAGGCATGCGCAAGATAGTCAACCATCACGACAACAATGGCGGACACCCTATTGAATTTATCAACGCTTCCCCATCATAGCGTAGATTTACTGTAGCAACTACACCTCGTCGTCCGTCCAGACAAACGTTCGCGTGGTTGCCATTTTGTTTGTTTATACATCAGTGCTCTGTAGAAGGAAGCGTAAGAGTCACACACACAACTACTGGCCTGGCATGTATACTGCAGCGGATCCGTGTGCACGGTGATTGTTATCAAAACGTCGTCTAAACGCGGAACGTTTTTCAAAACGAAAATGAGAAACGATTCTGTTTTCAGTGGATCGTTTTTGTGTAAACATGGCCTGAGTAGTATTTGATTTGATTTGATTTGATTTGATTTATTTCTGGAAGACGATAAGACAGTAATCCTAAGGATGACATGCTAAAGTAAAATACTTATTTTCAGCATGGTCCTTGGTGTTTACACACAAGAAACAAATAAACAAGCAGCAGACAATCTCAGACTAAAAATACATATAGTAAATAAGACACAAAAATATTAACTGAGGGCTTTTGAGTGGGCTTTGGTTGCCTGCAGCTAAACGTGTGAGCGAAAGAGGCGGAACACATTGGCCCAGATGCAATTTTGGACAACGCCTGATCTTATCTGCATTCATTTGTAAATATCTGTTGATAGAGATTAGCTGAAACGTTGTCAGGACCTGTATCAGATTGTTAATCTAACTGTAAACAATGAGCAGCACACAGAAGAGGAAGTCTTCGCCCAGATATTCATTGGCTACAGCGGAACCCCCGAAATATTGGGTGTTGTCCCCAGTGGTTATATCATCGTAAAACTGATAGCTGATGAGTTCAGAGATTGTTGGGGCCCCAGTCAACTTTCAGATGTCTATGAAAGACACGTGGTTCTCAAATGGTTACATTTAACCAACAATTTGAGGCACAAAGAAGTAAAATTGTCAGTCAGGGACGTGTCCACCAAAGCGTTTTTTTTCCTGAGGCCAGCATATTTTTTCAATTCTTTGTGATGGGAGTGCTGCGTATTGAAGCTACGCTGAGTGCCAAGATGACCAGATTAACCTTGAGTAACACTGAGCTCGTCACTGTCACTTTTTACCCACCTGTTTACCCAATCACAGTGGAGGAGCGACAAATACCACAAAGACCAACCAGCACATCTTACAGATAGAACTGCTGAACAACAGCAACAATGGAGGAGACATTGAAATGGGTTAATATACTGTGTGTATATATTTGAGGTGTGGGAATCACCAGAGGATCCACGCTATATATTATCACGATATTTGAGTCACAATACAATGTTATTGCGATTTGAAATATGTCAGGATATGCTGGGTATTGTGATAGAATATATTGTGACATATTGCGACCTCTCTCCCTACGTGCTTCAGCCTTCCCTTCATCCAGAGCAAGTACTTTACCTTGCGCTGACATTCATGCTTTCACAGACATTCCATATCTTAGCAACCAGACACAACCAAGGCGTCTCAGCTGATAAAAACACTGCGCCTCCAAAGCGCTCTCAGGCGCTCCCAGCTGGGTGTTTCCTGAGGAGCGCCTGGCGGTTTCAGCTGGAAAAAATGCTTTGGAGGTTATGGGGCGTTAAGATTCGAGAAAAGTCCAAAAGATAAGAAATAAGAAAAGAAAACAGACAATTGTGCAGCAAAACTGTTCTTCAGTCCAACCACATTAATGATCTCATGACCCCTTGTGACCCTTTGATGGGCCTGAACCCCTATGAGGAACCCTTGAACTTGCATCAATATTTGCAGTCTAGTGATGTAATCTATAACGATCAATCAGTTACAGTGGACGTTTTTCTTCTGAACAAGTACTTAGGTACATTTTGCTGATGATACGTTACCTTACTTTTACTTAAGTAGGATTCCGAATAGAGACCTTTGACTAACAGTTTTTTTACATTGTGGTATTGGTATTTAACTTGAGTAAAAATCTGAGTAAGTCTTCCACCAATGTCCCTCTGTATGGTGAAAGTGGAAACAGACAACTTGTCAACATTTCCCCCCTAATGTTTCCAAGTTGTATTATTGTTGCGCTGCTGTCACAGAGCCAAGCAACTACCACAGTGTCCTTAGAAGTGACATGTCTCAAAATGTGTTTATATTTCCATGCATTGATATCAACAGCAGGAAAACTGTACAGTCTTACTGACTTTGCTGTGACTGATTAAAATAAACAGTAGGTTTCCACTCAAACTTCATTGTCCTACTTCAAACATCACTTGAGTTACCTCAGTCCATGTCAGCGTTCCAGGAACTGAGCTCAGCCCTTTTTAAAATGACTACCATGCATTTTTGAGGTCATCCAGCGGCTGTTAAAAACTGTTTCATAAGACCAGAGGTTGAGAAACTTAATCAACCCCACAAAGGAGCATCTGAGTCATCTGAGGTGGAAGTCAAAGCCTAAAAAATGGAGCTGTTGGACTTATCTCACTGCAACAGACATATGCAAAATGTGTTTATGTGTGAATGTCTGTTTTTGTCTGTGCATATGTGTGTAAATATTTGTGTGTGTGTGTGTGTGTGATCTGTCTATTGTGATGCGTTTGTGTGCAGCGGGAAGTGGGTATTGCTCAGCGCTCTTGAGGCTGTTTTTACAGGAAGCAGTGCAACGTTCACAATCAGACTTCTTTCCTGAGCCTTCACTTTTTTGGCAACTTTCGCAACCCCAGTGATGCTTTTATAATAGCATGTCCTTGTGGAAAAGAGCAGCACACAGAACAGGAACTACATTTCCCATAAGCCCCCTTATCTGAAGTCATTTGAATACAAATAGCTCAGGTATATGTAGCAGGTTTGGTGTTATCCTGTTTAAAACATATGTAAACTCAACTGAACTGGAACAATCAGTCAATTAAAGGAAAATTAATTAGCATTTTTTCAATAATAGTTTTTGTCATTTTTAAAGCAAAACTACAAAACTTTTGCTTCTTAAATGGGATGATTTTCTGCTTTCGTGTGTCAAATATGACAATAAATCATATATATTCTAAAATATTGGTCAGATCACACAATTTGAAGACGCCACCTTGGGCACAATTTTCACTATTTTATTAGAGACTGTACATAAAGATAGACGACACGTCTCCACCTCTCACTAGTGTACAAAAATGAAGCCAAAATATCCAAGACATTGGCGCTGCCATCTTGCACTTGTGATGTCATTTGGAGCCAGAGTCTATGCAGTAGCATTTGAAGAGTGGAGCTGCAGTATTGGGTTCCCTCCATACACTTGCCTGACCCAATCACCAGCAGCGCTGTTGATTGCCAGCACACAAATTGACACGCACAGCTATCAATCATGACATCACAATCTGTTTTTATAGCATAAAATAGGGATGCCAGTTAACGTTGCTTCCAATAGGCTGACACCCATTAAACGGTAAGTGACTGGTTAATTTTTTTTTGGAAAAAATATACACAATGACATGAAATATAAGAGGCCTCTCCTTTTAGTCCAGCACTCAGTTGGCTACAGCATCGTATTTCAAAGCACTATTCATTTAGAGGTGGTGAAATTTAAATGTTTTGTGTCATAAATGTCTGACCTTTTATTTTATTCTATTTTGGCTTTGCTGACAAACAGCCAGCTAGCTGTGTTAATATGCGGAAACCAAGTACCCATGGCCGATCTCCAGTCTTCAATGGTTAGATAACGTTAGCTTTGGCCACTCTGCACTTTGCACCACACAGGTCGGGTGAGAGCTAGCTAGTAGTGCCATTCATTTGGCATTTATGGCTGGCAACCGGGATGGCATAGCTGAGAAAACATGATGGCCATTGCTTAGCTAATGTTAGTCTTGGCCGCTCTGCACTTTGCACCACCTAGGTCGAGTGAGAGCTCGCTCGTAGCCGCCAAGGCAACCTTTCAGAAAAATGAACAATGAACTGAACATTCATCAGTGTGATAAGAACTACCTAAAATGACAGAAACTATCTCTGGGAAAATATTTTTTGACTTGTACTTTGATCGTTTTTTTGGCTCATGTCCCATCCGCTAACATGGAGCTGGTGGGGTTAATGACCAGTACTGCAGCTAGTCACAAGGGGGCGATAGAGATGTTTTGGCTTCACTTTGTTGGAGCTGTCATGCCATCCATCTTTACAGTCATTGTACTTTATAGGCCAAACAATAAATCATTCAAGAAAATATTAGCTGTGTAGATTGTAAGGTAGGGTGGAGTTAGACGAAAGTGACAAAGGAGAAACATATTTATTTTTTCATATTTTTTGATTTGTCTTTATGTATTTTTCTTTATTTATTTCTATTTTATTTTTTAATGTATTTTTATTTGGTTTATTGATGTAGAGTTGTGTATCGTTTATATTTTGTGAATATTTGATAAAGAAAGTGTAAAAAAAAGAAAAGAAAATACTCATCGATAATAAAAAAAAAAATTATTAGTCGCAGCCTTAATTTCAGTTGTTCAGATCTGGTCTTAATGAACCCATTAAACTTTTCAAAGAATTTGAGTTCAGTTACTTGCCACATACCACAAGGTGACTCTCAAAGTCATTGCTTTGTGAGGATGAATGTGCATGTTGACAGAGCGAAGCAGTGGTGTAATAACTTGCCCTTGTGTCGTTCAATGACAAAGACACATCAGATGATTTCCTGCCTGCTTGACCTCAATTTGCCATTTGACGGCACCGTAGACACGAGCAAAGTGGTGGTGACACGAGAAATTGAGCACATGGATGAGGCAATTACTCCTCATGTTCACACATGAGTCTCACTCACACAATCAGGACACTCACTATTACCATCATCATCACCTTCTCCTCCTCTGCCCTCTTTCAGGTGGGGGATCGAGTCATCGTATTAACCCGCAGCGGCATGTGGCAGGAAGTGGTTGTTGTGTCCGCCAAACATACCTTCCCCATGCCGGAGCAGATGAGCTTTGAGGAAGGTGCTGCTCTCCCCGTTAACTACATAACTGCCCACATGATGCTGTTTGAGATGGCCAACCTGAGGCCGGGCAAGAGTGTGCTTGTCCACATGGCAGCAGGTAAGACACACGCTGACGACAGTGAACACATAACGCGGGGAGTGTCGAATTGAAAAAGACAGTAAAAACAGCAAAAACATTATAGATGATAGAGTAACCAAAAATGTGATTTTAGACAGGATTGATTTACAACTCAAACCTAATCAGTGGTCTCCATTGTGTTACATGGTTAGACAGTCTATCCCCCATGATTTCAAACAAACGTCCCCCCAGTCTCCGCGGAAACCTGTGAAGAGTCACACACCTCGTTCACTCCAGGTCACTAATCACTTCTCTGAATGCAGCCACATTTCTGTGCTGAAAATGATCAGCCGAGGGACCGTGGGTCAAGGGGGGAAGACAGTGTGTGTGTGTGTTATTGTCTCATAAGAGCTTATTCATAAAATGGAAAACAGGATCATTATCAGGCACGGTTGCTTTGGTAACACCTGACATTTGAAAAATTGGGCTCCAACACTGAAACAAGCAAAAACGTTTCATTTCCTGCAGAGAATTGTGTGTTTAAATGACTAATGTGTCGTAGTAGTATTCTTTCAATCACAGTAGGATGGAAAAAAAAAACAATAAAGGTGGACCTCTACTATAAATGACAGCTGTCATGTGATATGATTGAAAGCTCCAGATCAGCTACTAAATGAACCTTGTAGTGGGATTGTTTCATCAACTGCTGCTGTTGTTAAAATTTCAGCACATAAAAAACACACACACACAGTGGCTCCAGGTTGGCCACATTCTAATTTAAGCTAACAATCTGAATACATTCCTGATTGCTCATACATTACCTGTCCTATATTGTCCTGCACTTTATATATATTGTGTTCTATATTATGTGAAGTAATATTTTAACCGTAGCAGTAGAGACACACCCTCTGATCATTCTGACTTGAGGGTGTGACAGTCATGAAACTGGCAATGAATAAAACATCTTCAAGAAACCTAGTGTGCACTTCTGTGGTTTAATTATGGCAGTTTGGGGAATTTTGACAGTGTATGTCCGAAGTTGTGTGCACAGATAAATTAGAGATACGTATTTCAAATTAAAAGCCTGCTTTGTAGTCACTAGTTATATCAGATAAGCATCATTTCTCCGCGTTTAAAGGTAGAGTCTGCGAGTCTGGAAAACACTCAACACCAAACCAATACACCCCACCTGTCAGTGCTCCTTCAGAAGCTCCACCCCCTCAAATTCTCGAACGTGTACTGTATCTTAGGTTAGCAAACTCTTCGTCTTCGTTGATAACACTCCTCAAAACATACTTTTACAGTGAGTTTTTGTACAGTAAATCTGTTGTGTGTATAGTTTTTATCCGTCTTTTATCTATTTTATATCACACAAATCGAACGTTCATCAATGTTTTCTTACATCAATTTTTTCGTACACTGCGAAACAAACCACATTCATAAAAAAAAGGCTTTAGACAACATTTAAAACCGTTAATTTACTAATGCCTGCACTTATTTGATACCCTTTCAAGCTCATCAAATATTGTCAGGAGTATTTCACCATAAAAACTGAGTGTTCCAGTCCTAGCTTAAGGCCAAAAAATATCCCCTTATTATTTTCAAAGTACAACCCCACAACAGTGGCGGCTAGATGTATATTGGCGCTCCTGGACGCACTGCCCTGCAGCACCCCACACCACTGTCCTATTTCCAGCCTCGCAGCCCCCTGGAATTACATGCATTTTTCTCCCACTCGCTCTCTGCTTGTACATACCAGCTCCCACAGCAGCTCCTTTTCTCTGCTCCTATGGCAGCTCGACTCCTCTCCTCACCATTGATGTATAAAGAGAGCTCTGTAGCTGTTGCTGTGTTTTGTGTGTGGCAAAGAATGGATGAGGAGAGACTCATTGAGGTAGAGAAATATCCCGAGCTTAACGACCCACAGTCCTTTCATTATAAAGACAGTAGACTACAAGATATTGCCTGGTGACTCATAGCTCTGGAGATCGGCAGTTCGGGTGAGATTTAATTAGAGGATCTCGACACATGGTTGTAAGCTAATACATAGGTGGAGAAAGTGCAGATCTTTCAGTGAAAGTGGTGATAACTTTGTCTGTTGACGAGCTGCAGTGCGACACATCCAGTGTGTGCTAGGGGCAGCTCTTGATGTGCGCCTTCCAGTGTGTTTTCAGCTTTACAACAATTTTGGTCTCCATTGTTTTTATTAAATCTGCTGGTAATGATGGGCACAGCCACCAAGTTTTGGTGCCATAAAATGTTACTAATGTTGATATTGGGAATCCAGACCAACCAAATATTCTTACACACCTCCAAGCAGGTGCTAAGGTGGCATATCTAGTTCTTCTGGAAGATATTGCCAGCTCGTAATGTGGTCACGAACAGCCGAGTCTCTTTCAGTTTGTCTGAAGATTTCGGCGACAGCCCTTACCTACGGAAGTACCCAATCTCATCGTCCCTCTAGACATTTTTGTTGCCGTCTGCGTGTAAACAACCCTTACTCTTCACTCTTAGATGTTTGTATTGTTTCGGTTTCATGCCAGTCTCATGACAGAAACATCAACACGCCCGCTTGCTTGTGTGAATTCTCCAGACAATGACCTGCTGTATTCACACATCGGCTCAATCAGACATTACACGGACTTTGCACTCGGGAGCTGGCAGGGTGAAGTCCGTTTAATGTCCGATCCAACTGATTCAGACATTTGTGTTCTCACATACAGCTCCTCCAGGTAGTGTCTAGATAGGTTCAGGGTTGCATGTGTGAAAGGTATTTTTGTAACATTGTACATGTAATTGCAAGGGAAAGAATGTTGGCAAGGTAATATCTCCTATGTTATTTATGTTTCATGGTGTAGCTCTGTTCCTCGTGGGTGAGGACGTGGAAGAGGGAGAGTAGAGAGCAGAGGAAGAGGAGGAGGTTGTCTCCCCTTTTGCTGTTTTTCGGCCATCTCTCCTTCCTTGACACGTTAGCATGTGGCAAAATGTGGCTTATTGTCCCCCCTGCTCCCTCTGCCTTTCTCTTTATACATCCACCGCCTTTCCCCTGTCATGTGCATGAGCGCCAACGCCCCCTTGTGCTGTTTGGCTGGAAGAATGTTGTGTAGCTCGTTCCCAGCCACTTTATTTGTTTCCCATATATAGAGCCAGGGTGTGCACCCACAAAACAGACCATGAGGATCTCCTCAATCGCTGAATCTGATTAAAAGAATCATGGATAAGAATCTCTGATTGCACCTTTAAAATTCACGTCAGATGGTGGCGGGTAGAAGAACGATTGTTCGTCATCACCTTCTTTTAATCAATATCTGCAGCATCTTTATGGGAACATTTTGCTATGTATTCGATATACTAGAGCTTTGCATATAACCTCACATGACTCCGTCGCCTTTTTAATGAGTCACAACTCCTCATGCCATTTTCGCCATCTCAAACTGTTGTTTGTTTGACACTATTTATTGTGTGTTTAAAAGATGTTAAAGCAGCAGTAACTCACAGAGCTCAGTGTTTGTCAACCACTCTTGAGTCCAAGTGTACGGGTCAGTTAATGTCAGCATCCAGCATCACGGTCCAGTGCTCTGCTTCTGCATCAGAGACAGGGGGGCTCTCAGAGGCTGCGTTTCAGTGTTGAGTGTGTGGGTGGCTGTCAGCTGACCTGTATGAATCAGACCACACGAGGCGAGGGTGAAGGAGAGGGCAGGAGGGATTACTGGTGAGCCTGCACACCCAGGAAGCCGTCGTTGTGAAAAACCTTTCGCTGTTTAACGGAACAAGAGACTGGAAAGCAACATTTACTATCACAGTTCCTCGATCTTCCGGGGGTTTCAACTACCCTAAAATTGCATCATTAATGCCACTGTTGCTACTGGAGTTGTTAGAAATGAATCTGACCTAAATCCCACCACTGCTAAAGGTAAATCTGCCTCACACGTATGACATTTAAACCCCTTAAAATCCCATACCCATGTTTTTATGACTGTTTTGTTCATCGTGACATTGAAATTTTCCCCAAATCAGCTGCACATGATTCATGTCTTTTGAAAGTTCCAGGTCTCTTCCAGAATTTAAAATAAACTTCTGTGGTTTTTGAACAATGTTCGGCTCCACAGCATGAGTTTCAAATGCCCGAACTGAACACCACATCCCTGCTGAAGGTATTATGAGTGAAAAAGCACTCACAGCCACTGTACGGACAATGTCTGCATATCTGTAGGTGGTGTTGGTATCGCTGTCACCCAGCTGTGTCAGACTGTGCCAGATGTGACCGTCTTTGGCACAGCGTCAGCCTCCAAACATGAGACCATCGCCCAGGGTGGCGTCACCCACCCCATCGACTACCGCACCAAAGACTACGTGGAGGAAATCCGCAAAGTCAGCCCAAAGGGTGAGAAAACACACAACTGCTCATACTGCACATTGTAGTGTTCAAAACCTTACCTGCCCTGGAAGGTTCATATTTATATATTTAATGTTAACAATATTTTTGTGTCTTTTGTTTCCGCAGGAGTGGACATCGTCCTCGACCCACTCGGAGGTTCAGACACTCAGAAAGGCTTTAGTTTGTTGAAACCTTTGGGCACTCTTGTAGTCTTTGGTAAGATTTTTTTAACAGAATAACATATTTCAAAGGATTACTTGCGCCTCACTCAGTGTATTTGTATTTAATCTATGTTTTAACTTATTTTTTAAGTAATTGTAAGGATGCTGTTTGTATCATTTAAAAATGAATAGAATTAAATGGAAGCTAACGCAGGTGAAAAGTCTCTTGAAAGGACGGCTCACCCCCAAATCAAATCATATTTTTCTTCTTACTTGAAGAGCTGTTTATCAGTCTAGATTGTTTTGTGTGAGTTTCCAAGTGTGTGGTTTTTAATGTATCCCGTTTTGTCGTGCCTCATTCTAGGCGCGGCCAATTCTGTGACGGGCCAGAAGAAGAACCTGTTGGCCGTGGCGAAGACCTGGTACAACCAGCTCTCCCTCACCACACTGAAACTGATGCAGTCCAACAAGGCCGTCTGCGGCTTCCACCTGGGCTACATCAGCGACGAGCAGCTCATCAGCAGGACGATGTTCGAGCTGCTGGAGCTCTACGGGCAGGGAAAGATCAAGCCTCGCATCGACTCGTGCTTTCACTTTGAGGAGGTTAGTTTGATCACGCTTTAGGTATGAAATCTGGAGGCTTTTCTTGTTTCACAGATTGTACTCCATTGATTCCTTTCCTCACCTCCTTCCCTTACATCTAAGTTCTGTATGCAAGCAGAGGAGGCAAGGAAGAGACACGAGGAGAGAGGAGTCAGGGCACCTGGCTTCTAACAAAATGAGACATCTGTGCTTTGGAGTCATCATTTTAAAGCAACGTCAGGCACTTTTGGCAGGCTAAGGGGTTTATATGTAGCGATATCATCATGCAGAAACTTCCGTCAGGGGTGGTAATTTAGCATTCTGACGCTAAAACCGACAAACTTTGACCAGAATGTGAATGTTCAAATTGTAATACATAAGGAACACCACCGGGAAGCTACAGAATAATATGGTAAACTTAAAAGAAAACAAAAATAATGTACCCTACCTTTAATTAATGAACTGTAGAGGCTAACTTTCTGTGTACCTTGGACACAACCAGGCAAGCTGCTTCCGGTCTTTATGCTGAGCTAAGCTAACTGGCTGCCTGCTGTAGCTTCATATTTATCCTATAGACATAAGACTGGCATCTTCCCTTCTTAGAAGAGAAAAGAAAGAGAAAGCAAATAAGCATATTTCCCAACATGTCGAACACTTTATAGGTTTAAATAAAAAAAGAAGTACTTGATGTTTTCTCGGCTCAGATTATTCAGAGACATGAGATGAATGTACATCACACACGAGGAGCCCCACTGAAGCTTCTCCTGCGTCACAGCCTTCTGGTGTTTTCCTCTTTTCCATCACTCATGTGCGGCAAACCTCCGTCCCCCCATCAGATGAGTCTGTACTTAAGGGCCGTTGCTAGGTGACGGTCTAAATTGTTGCCGTGGCATTCACTACTTACAGGGATGTCTCTGCGTTTCGAGTTTCTCTGGCTGCCTTCAAGGATAGACAGGAGAGTGATGCGAGACGATCCTGGCTTTGTGTTTGCAAGCAGGAAACGGACAATAGCCGAGGCAGGAAATAATAGGAAGTACAGATTATGTATGGTGGAGATCTATAGCGTTGATACTGTAGCCATTGTTGTCATTAATATTTCTACTCATTTCCACCGCGAAACTGGCTCCATTAATATTTTCTATAGGAGATTTTCTTTTTGGTTTTATTCAGGGGTGTTTTTGGTGGATTTGATTTATTTATTGATACATTAAATCCAAGGGATAACATTTTTTTATTTATTTTCTCTTTTTTTTTTTTTGATTAATTTTATTATTTTATTTTATCTTTTTTTTAAATAAATAAATACATTTACAGTAAATTACAGTAAAAAAATGCATTACCTAAAATTTAATAATACATTTTTCCTAAAGCACAAATTACATGTGTACAATTGAACCCCAGAGTAAGAGGAAAAAATAACCTATTGTTCACATCCGTTCTGCTGCTCTGTCTACTCCCAGGTGACTGATGCCATGAAGCGCATGCACGAACGCCAAAACATTGGGAAAGTCATCCTTCTTCCTGAAGTGAAGAAAGAGGAAGAGAAGCCAAAGTCCGACCCTGAGCCGGTAGAAAATGTGGAAAAAACTGAAGCTGCCATCAGCGAGCAGAAGGAAGAAACCACAGATGAAGTAAAAGCCGAGGATTGAGTAAGATGTTTATTTGAATGATATTTTCAAGCACTTCCTGAATGAGTTCCCTATTGTTCACTTGTCAAAAAAAAAAGGAAGAAGAAGAAAAGCAAGATGACATGAAATGTTTGACTTTGTCAGTATTTTCAAATGTTTATGGAGATTTTGTCGTGCAATATGTCTATAGTGTAGTGTCTGTGTTGGGAATACTTGTGTTTTTAAATAAAAATTGAGTGTATTCTGTGACATTACGTGAGGAATAATGTAATCTGATTACAGATGGATGTTAAATTTTAGGTCCCCATGACAACAGCTCAGCAACAGCAACAAACCAGGGCCAGTATCTATGAAACTTGGTCGAAAAAAATGGTCCTATACAAGGACTCATGAGTAAAAAAAAAAAAAAAGAATAAAAAGCCAGACTCTGAAGCTTTGATTTTTCATTAAAAAAAAAATCTTAAATGAGTAAAGAAGTATAAAGCAACAGCTCAAATTGAGAACTATGAAAGTAATGAGTCGGTGACATGCTTAATTGTGCTGCAAAGGTCGACTAAAAATGAGGCATTTCCATAAAATGATTACTGGCAAGCAGAGGCAGAGCAGGGTGCTGCTGCTGGAGCTCCAGCCCTGAATGTTTTCTCAAAAGCCCCAAATCTTTAAAGTTTTCAAAAATACCAAATTCCTCCCTGACCTATGTTATGTAAAAAAACGTGTTAAAAACAGCAACAACAGACAATTTTTGCCTCTTTTTAGGCGGCAGCAGAGAAAATTAGTCCTCCTCAACATTCGTTTTGTTCTGGTTTCAGAATGATGAAAACAGTTGGAGAACAATTAGATTTAAAGCAAGGAAAATATAAAAGACAACCTGGTTTCACTCCAAAGTCGTCGTAATCTGGCACTTGGGCAGTGACTTGTGGCATCAGACACTGACGAAAGAAGCTGTCCTTTAACGTCGGCATGATACGCTGCCGGTTGCCGTTATAGTTTAATGGCTCTTGGAGAACATCAACTTTCATCCAGGAGAGCGGTGTTCGCGTCCCGTAAGATCCTAATCCCAACCGCGTGCTTTTGTTGCCTAAACCCAACCACGTATGCTAGTTGTTGGAGGAAAAAAAAGGCCTCAATTTGCGTTGTTGTACTGATGTAGTGCGTTTATTTTGAAAGAGACTATATGTAAACGTTAAATTTCCTGTGAAAATGGAAGTGTATTTTGAAAGAAGACAATGCATGTAACAGGCAGAACTTGACACGGCATCCCAGAACATCAAAAGCCAACACACCCAGGGTACCTTTCACGTCATATCTGGAGATATGACCAAACATCAATATGTGACAAGGTCGGAGTGAGAATGTGTTGTAAAAGAAGCAACAGTCACAGCAACAGTGTCAGTGTTCGAGGAGCCAGACTGTGGTGTCAGTTGTATTGGCGTCAATGGGACAGGCACTGCAAATCACACTTTAAAGGATAGTGCACCCAAAAATGAAAATTCAGCCATTATCTACTCACCCATATGCCGATGGAGGCTCAGGTGAAGTTTTAGAGTCCTCACATCCCTTGCGGAGATCCAAGGGAGAGTGGGTAGCAGCACAACTGCACCTAATGCAGGCTGGGCACCCCAGATTAAAACGTCCAAAAAACACATAATTGAAACCACAAAATATCTCTGTAGCCTGTAGCTCTAACTGCCTCTCTGTGGACCGCGCTCATGTGTGTGCACTTGCGCGAGACCGTGAGACATGGGCACCGCTTTCATGTCTGCGTGGACACGTGAGTGCAGTATACAGAGAGGCAGTTAGAGCTGCAGGCTACAATGAGGCTAAAAACAGAGTTCAAATTATGTTTTTCCAAACAACTTTATATGTCGGGGCTTCAGGACACTTGGATCACTACGGACGAGCAGTATGGAGATATTTTGTGGTTTCAATAATGTGTTTTTTGGATGTTTTTATCTGGGGCGCCCAGCCTGCATTAGGTGGAGTTGTGCGGCTACCCACTCTCCCCTTGGATCTCCGCAAGGGATGTGAGGACTCTAAAACTTCACCTGAGCTGAGTAGATAATGGCTGAATTTTCATTTTTGGGTGCACTATCCCTTTAACCCATCATATTGTTGTTGTTTTAACTTTGACTGAAAATCCTTTGACCAGATTAAAAACACACATCATGTGATGCTTACTGACATTTTTTATGAAAATATGCGCATTTTTTTTACCTTGTTATTGGTCTGCAAACAGATCATGGCTCTGTCCGTCTGAGCCTCTGCTGGACAGAGCCATGATCTGTTTGCAGACCAATAACAAGGTAAAAGAATGCGCATATTTGAATAAAAATATTTCAATTTTATTTATAAAGTCCAGTATTACAAATCACAATTTGCCTCAGAAGGCTTTACAGCATACGGCATCCTTCTGTCCTTGGAACCTCACAGCGGATAAGGAAAAACTCCCCCCAAAAAAACCCCTTAAGCGTGGGGAAAAAAATGGTAGAAACCTCAGGAAGAGCAACTGAGGAGGGATCCCTCTTCCAGGATGGACAGACGTGCAATAGATGTTGCACAGAACAGATCAACATGATAACTTTACAGTGATCCATATGACAAGATGAGACATAAAGAGAGGGAGAGCATGACATAATGTGTGTTTTTTAATCTGGTGGAAGGATATGATGGGTTACAGTGTAATTTGTGGTAGTTGCCCCATTGACTCCAATACAACTGACACCAAAGTCTGGCTCCTAGATGCCACCACTGTCATCATGACCGTTCCTTGTTTTTTATTTTCCTTGATTAAAAATAGGGTGCTTTTTTCCTTGTTCCTGTTAATCCCACATGATGTAGAGATTTTTAAGCATTCCAATATTTCACATGAGTTGAAAAATAGTACATATAGCTGCTGTAAATGGGAAAACAAGTCTAGCAACCCCCCATAGATTTGGGCTGAACCCTGAATATTAACAGCATCTGTCTCCGTCCCTGCCAGCAAGTTTATATATTAAGAATAATTTTGATTTGATCTTTCTTTGTTTTGTTGTTCAGCCTTGTACACAGGAGACATTTTGACTTGTCATAGAAGGAAAAAACAGGTCTATTAAATAACATTAATGATGGCTGCATTCCACTTGTGGGAGGCGGTTCTGGTATTGTGCACGCTGGCTGGCCATAATGTTATCAGTTTCACCTGTGCTTTTCCTGCTAGGAAAATTCAAATTGTCTGCTGTGAGAAAGGTTCATTGTGTCATTTTGAGAAATACAGACACGTTTAAGATGGAAAAAATAGTGACTTCATACATACTGGCCCTGGTTCTGTCTTCAGAGAAAAGGATTGATCAGCACACTGACCTGAAACATATTCCCTGAACTTTGTGTTTTTAGTTTTTCCTGTAATCTGCGTCATACCTCAAATCTGCCAGTGTAATCAGAATATATTACTTTTGGTAATTCCTTGGATCCTGTTAAAGATTATTGATTTGAAGTAATGAGTAACTGTGATCAAATTGACCTTAGCCTGTTTTAGTGTAGGACTTTTAGTGATCGTCTAGTTTCTTGGGTTGTGATGCACTACTCAGATTCCTCTTGGATAAATGTTGTCAGGCAGTCGTCTCTCTTCGGAAAAGCCCAGGTCAGTATTGTATTCTAGTTTAAATTGTTATGTTTCTCTCACATATTTGTGCCAAACCTAAAGCCAGCTTTCACTACTGCCGTCCAAGACAACTGTGAATAACAATTAGCGGGACCTCCCTGCCTTGGCAGCCGTCGCTCGTGGGTTTTCCTCCACACAATGTCGTGCCGAACTTGAGCTGAAAGTGTTGGAGAAGCCATGCGAAGGGGAGGTTTTCACGCCCTGATTGATTTAGCTGCTTCCTTAAATCCTACGCTGCCTCTTTAAAAATCAAAATTGGTGCCAAGTTTACAGAAGTACAGTACAGTTTATGTTACTAATGCTTCGTAGATATACAGGGAGTGGGTTAGGAGAAGAAATATGAAGAGAAATTGGGACGGTGCTTTGCTTTTATGCACTTTGTATCTCTGTGCTCAATACATATTCATTTTACAGCTTTTGCAGAATACTGATGGATTATTAAGTTTCACAGTAATCAGTTTTATTAATGCTTGTGTGTGTTCCTTTGAATGAATGACCTTGAATAGTGGGCTCAGTAATTCAGATGTTTTGTCCAGCTGTGGGTGTAATTCAATGCTGTGACGCAGAAGACGCCACCGAAGCACAAGAGCCAGAGTTTTCCCTCCATCCACACAGCAGAGCAGCTCCACACATTCCTCTCTCCACCCTCTCAGCCCTGCTCTCCGTCTCGCTCAAAACTCTCTCCCCCTCCAGCTTGTTTTGAACAGAAAGCACTCGTAACAAAGTTTCACGGATTGTGCTTTATGTTATTTACATTTGTGACATTTTTTTTTCTGTTGGTCACTTGGACAAGTATTGTTAAGTTTGGCCAGGTTTCCTTCTCCAAGTGTGAAGTAAGACCTGAGGTGGACTGTAAGTGGGAACTGGAGTCGGCTCATTCTCAGTGTGTGAAGTCATCTTGTTACAAAAATCCTGGTTTGTAAGATTTTTTTATTCTTTCAGACTGTCTTTTGGGGAGTTGCTTTTTAGTGAACCCACCAGCCTGTAATGTTACAATTTACCTACTGAACCAAGTAGTGAAGGGTTTAAATGTCCTGTGTGCAGGATTTAGGGGCATCTATCGGCAGAAATGGAAAATAATATTCAAAACTATGGTAGTTTATAATCACCTGAAAATAAGAATTGTGTTTTCATCACCTTAGAATGAGCTGTTAATAATTTACATACAGAGCAGCTCCTCTTCTATGGAGTCCACTGTTTTGCTCTCCAGTAGCCCAGAACCGACAAACCAAACACTGCTGTAGATAGGGCCATTTGCGTTTTCGTGCCAGCCACCAAAGTTCTCCTACACCAGGGGTCATCAACTGCGTTTGTCCAAGGGCCAGAATTTGTTTCAGCTTCAGCTATCCAATCTGCACTACGCAACCAGTAAACACATGGGTTAATCAACCAACCGAAACCGACCCAACCAGCAATCAGTCATCTTTAGGACAGAGGCACATATAGTGTGTGTGTGTGTGTGTGTGTGTGAGAGAGAGAAGGAAAGAGGGACAGAGAGGGAAGCAATGAAGGTGGAAGGTGGACTATTGCACACAAAGTTTCTGTAAGTTTGTAATGATTAATAATCCGTGATATTTTCTAGTAATGGCAGCAGCTAGAGCGCGGCTTGGGCCGCATTTTCCTAGCCCTGCCCGAACCCGTCAACCTTTCTGATTTATTTTTTTTAAGTCCAAAATCTGACCCGAGCCAGACGCAGTTTGTTACCCGACATAGTTATTATTATGGACAGTGTGTAAATGACCAACAAAAGGCTGCTGTTACGCACAGTCAAACACGCCACACGCACAGCAGCGCAGCACAGCAACACACTCAGTCTGTGTTGTGTTCAGGCGTTGTCACGTAAA